ATATTGACGATGAGCCAACAATATCGCATTGTATAATAACCACAATCAACATTCCCTTCTTGTTGGGGTACTCCTGGAACATCAACCCAATCCGGTCGAGCCTTAAGCTGAGGCATATGTCGTTCCCGAAGTAATCGCCAAGACCTTTAATAAATGCAAAAAAACAAATTAATAAAAAATTAATTTCATAACAAATAAACAACTTTATTAATAAGTAATAAATTTCTTAATACTCACTCGTTGACGAAAGTCTTCACCTTCATATTCTTATGACCTCCAGTTGACTTGATGGAGTTTAGAAAATACACTTTGTTTTCAAACAAACATATTACAACTAACACCCAATGTCGCCTACAATTGAAAAAAGCGTTAGTCACAAACTTAAAATAAAAAACTAAAATACATATTAGAAATGATTTAAAAAGACATACGGTGTCGATAGATACAACGGCATAAGTATCCAGGGTCGCAATTGATAGGTCTCAAGTGCTTTATCCAGATACTGGCGATCTCCAAATTCTACCACGTATGCTATGCTCTCTGGACATAACAACCCGACAGACGCAATGTCCAGCTCCATCATATGATCGTACAACAATCTAGTAGTTTCACATGTAAACAAGAATTACAATTATAAGAAATAATTATACTTACAAAAGTAATTTATTTGTACATAGTCCTTGACTTACCTAAAGAAAACAATGATGATGGTCTGATCCACCTCCTCCGTTGCATGAACTCACGTATATTCTCCGAGCGCATCCTCAGCTCCGTCTCATTCGGATAGAGCATAGACTCAGGGTTGAGAATAACGCTGATGGTAGGTAAAGCAGATGTGCGTGTCAGCCACTGACACAACTCTCTGCACCTCGGCCCGAAAGTGACGTATAAGCTCTGGTCAACAACATCTTGTACGGGAGATCTAGGAGCAGTGGGACGTACCCCGAGAATGGGACGAGATTTGCTTGATGAGAAGTCTTCATGTCGAGCCGTCTGCACTGGGGGCTACGAATATTTTTAAACAATTTATATATGAAGCACAGCCCAAATGATGTTTAATAAAAAAAACTAAATTTATTTACTTACATCTCCAATGCCCACCAATGACTTAGGCCATGCAACAAAGCTCCCCAAGCAATCGGCCACAGTCTCTATATGCTCAGTCGGACAAGGAATGGTATATTCACCCATTCCAGGAAGCACAAGGGTCACAGAGACCTTAACCTGGTGGGGAAGGAGGGGAACACCGTGCACAAGGGTCACCCCTATACCAAAGTATATTTTTATATGTTGACTGTAGATAGGAAAAGAATAAAAAAATTACTCAGTAACTTTTTTCACCTTTTTTTGCTTCTTCTCCCCTTTTCTCTATGTTCTTATCTAAACTTCCTGTCGATTTATTGCAACAACATATATATTTGCTCTATCTCTCTCTTCTGATTTGTTTAATTTCCTTTAGGAGCCGGAGATATTTATTTGGTTAGATTATAGTCATTATACACATAATAAATATGATTATAATTAAACCATGAACCAAATATATTTCCCATGCACTTCGTATTTTAAAAAAAATTATACTCCTCCGTCCCAATTTAAATCATTTGTTTCGATTTACGATGTTTGACCAAAGGTATTTTTTAAATCATTTTATATGAAAAATGGTATAAAATTAAAAAATAAAAATTACGTATTTAAAAAATAACATCAAAAAATCTACAAAACTAGTAGTGATATAACTATATTATTTTACCAAACAACTAATGAAAATAAGAAAAGAGAGTGAATATATTTGACAGTTTGAATAGTAAATATACAATTTAAATTGGGACGGAGGAAATATTTATTATGAATAAATATCTTAAAATAATAAAATATTATAAAAGTGTATTAAATAAAAAAATATGGTCTGAGTAAGTATATAAAAGTGAAAGTGTAAATTACTATTGATAGTATAAAACAAAATTTACACTACACATTGGAGGTGTTCTTAAATGAATCACTTTACACAAAACGGATGTGAGGCCTGGCTACCGATCGAGGCGGAATTCCCAACCTTTCGGGAAGCCGTGTATCAATCAGTCAGAAAGAGGATGATCACTTAGCTGAATTAAGCCTAGTGGAAGAAAGAAGAACCATGGCCACTGGCAAAATGGCCAGGTACCAACAAGCCGTGAAGAAATACCCTGATAATCGAGTAAGCCCGCGCTACTTCCAGGTGCATGATGAGGTCTTATGCAGAAGGGTTGCAAGTAAGCCAAACGAGAGGGGTAAACTAGCGCGCAACTTGGAAGGGCCGTATCGCATCAGAGTAATTATCTGCATGGGTACTTATCAGTTGGAGACAATGGAAGGCGTACGTGTCGACCAGCACTGGAACTCCCACCACCTTCGAAAATTTTATAGATATGCATTGTAATATGTACCCTATCAAGGAATGAAAGTTGATCTGTTTATGAAAAGATGGTAACGGACTTATCTGCACGGTCAGTGTTCAATCAAATTGAGCATAAAAAACACAAAAAAAACTAGCCGGTCTGGTCAAATTGTTAATCCGTATCGACACGGTCTCGAATGACGCAACCAAAAAAGGAGAGCATCCCGGCTTGGTCAAGTCAAAGGATGAAAATACAAGGCTTATCTTCTACTTGGGTAGAAAGCCAATGTGACATATGGGTCGAGTCCATCTGTTCCCCGACAAGAAACCATACTTTTCAGAAAAGATGGCAAACCATTCTTGATTGGGTCAAAACCACCTGGAAAAAGATTGGCCGGGTCCATCTTTTTCCGGGTGGTAGACCAATCTTTCGGAAAGATTGACTGGTTGCATTAGACCGAGTGGAGACAGTCGTGCTGTTTCGAAGTTATCTACTCGGCAGCATACATAAAGTTGAAAAAATATATATTAAACGAAGTACTCAGCACACAGTATGGAAAGGAAGATTCCATTAATATTTAAATAAAGTTTTTACAAATTCCCAAGAAAGAGACATTACATAAGTGTTTAACAAAAAATAATAAATCTAGAGTTCAAATCCCTTCGAAGGGAAGAACTAGCTCTTCGTCGTGCAGTGCGGGAAGGGAGAAGACCCTGGGGTCAAAATCTTGGACCCACGTGCTCAGGATCTCGTAGAGCCCCCGCCGTTCCAGATACTGCCTGGATTCAAACCCGAAGGTCCCGATGTCATCAATGATTCCCTGAGACACTTCGTGCTTGTAGAGACCTTTGAAGAACCGGATGTCGGTCTCCTGGTCGGGAAGCGCCTAGTCGGCAAATTTCAGCAAAGGTGGAAAACAATTCAAGATAAGATAAATTTGTTTATGAATAAAGAAGGGAAGGGACCTTTTTCCTTTTTCTTCCCTCCCGGTGAGGGGGACTGACGGCAGTGGAGCTGGGGACATGATGCCAAGAATTGTGTTCATAGTGTTGGAGATCTCGCACGGAGCCTACCACGAATGCATGCAAGCCAGGCAAGACGTGCTAGCACCAGTTCTATGTGGGACCTTCGAGATGATGAGATTCGAAGGTTGAGAGAAGAGCTATATGACATTCGAACTTCACAAGCGCGTGAATTATTGTCGATTAGAGAAGAGATGACCCGACTTTATGGAGGAGTTTTCCCACGTGGAAATAGAGATGGCGGCGGAGATGGAGGAGGGGCGGGGTTTGCAGGGGCTTGTTGAGTTTTTAATTAGAATTGAAGAACAATATATTAAACTTAAGTTTTATGGTTATGTAAGTGGAGTTAAATTTGATAGTTATGTTGAATTTTTATAAATACTATTTGAATTTTACTTGTTTATTGGTGATTTGAATATTCTTGGTTGTTTGGTAATCCTCATTTCCAGTAATTGTTGTTGTTTGATGCTGGGATTTCTGAGTTTTGCTATGAAGGTGTGCGAAAGTGGAAAAACAGCAGGTTGCACGTTGTAAGCTGTCAAATTAGCGACGGAATTGAATTTCCGTCGCTATATGGTCAAAATGCATATTCCGTCGCTAAAACCGTCGTTATTGCTAGCGACGGAAATTTTCCGTCGTAAGTTCCGTCGCTAAATTCCGTCGCCACTTCCGTCGTAGACTAGCGACGGAAAAGAAAAATCCGTCGTCACACTGACTACTAACAAAAAAATAACGACGGAATTTGTTCCGTCGTTATTTCCGTCGTTACGAAGATCACCTACGGAAATAAGGCTTTGGCGACGGAATTATTCCGTCGCCATTTCAGCAGTTTCCTGTAGTGGTATAACCCATTGATACCACCCGGCAGGTTTGCAACCGCCTGGGAGGTACCTAAATTTGCCCCCTCGAGACCTGGTCAACCCGTGTAGTCTGACCGGGAGGATATGGAAAGGGTCAGGATTGAGAGATAGTGACTTCATTCACTGAAGGCACAAAGAATGGCCGGGCAAATGACTTGAGATGAACAGTGGCACCAAAACGTGCTTGTTATCCTTATAAATAGGAGAAAATGCCTCATTAAGAAGGCATGCTTTAGAGACTCCGCACGGCTTGTAAACTTGTAGACAGTTCCAACATTATTAATAACAAACCGGGTTACATGTGTTCCCGCCTACAACCCTTTCACTTATTTATACTTTATATTTGCGTGGTATTCTCTTTTGATTTGATTTTTCATGATCCCCAATGCACTACTTTGACAATTAATGTTTCTATTTATACAATTTTATATTATAAAAATATGATATTCTTAAACTTTATTCCAAAACGAGTCTATTGATATTAAATTTATATCACAAATGAATATATATTTTTCTATGTTTTATGGTCAAAGTTAGAAATATTTGACCAAGAAAAAGTAAATAGAAAGATAATTTTGGTACGGATGGAGTAATTAAAGACTTGGTACCAAACAATTGGCACCAGTTCCGGTACAAGATAATTTCTATCAAACCTAGTAAATCGAACTGGGAAGATCATTTTAGGACGGAAGGAGTAACATATGCGGGGCGGTTGTGTTTCTGGAGTAGGCCGGCTTAGACAGGGGACACGCTTGGAGAGGCGGATGCACTTGGAGCCTCAACCTTTAATGCGTTTCTTGAGTAGGTATTTTGTTAATATTGGCATGTATATAACAAAAGCATTCTGAAACACTATGCAGTATGTGCTCCATTAAAGTAATGAGATGGTTAGTTGTGTGTTCCATTTTTCCCTTGTTGCTCCATGAAGCTTTTTCACTTTATCCATATTTTATATATTCATTCAAAAATAGTGTAATTTGTTTTTACTATTTTCTTTCTCTTCCCTCTTGCTCCTTACTCCGTAAAGAAATATTCTTCATAGCAAAGACAAAAAAGCACATATTAAATAGGTAATGCCACAATTGCAATGTTGCCACGCAATTTCTTTTTTATTGTTTTTATTTAGTATTTTTATTTACTTTTTATTACTAAGAAATTTAAAATAAGTTAAGGTCGAAATAGTTTGATTGTTTAAGTCATTTTTTAATTAAATAGTCAATTCAAGCCATTTATTTTTATGTATTTTTTTCAATTTATTTTCCATGGCCTAAAAAAATAAATTAAAATAAAAAAAATTAATTATAAAACAAATAGTAACAAACAACTAGTGTGTTTGTGCCTATAATAAAGCAAGGTAGGGAATAGCTTTATTATGAGAGAGAGAAAAATAGAGTATATTTTGTTCTTTTAGTGAGATTTAGAAATAAAATATTAAGTACATCTCATCCTTACTCTTCTTGGGAGTCTTGATCAGTTAGGTGGGGTGATCAATAACTACCCCACAATTAACTCTCTCAATGTGGATATAGTTGGGACAAGATAAAAATATTATCCATCAATAAATTTCTAGCTCTACTACAAACTCAAGGCACGAAGACTGGCCGGTTGAAGACTGCCTGGGCGAATGACTTGAGATGAACAGTGGTACAGAGACGTGCTTGTTATTCATATAAATAGGAGTAAAAGCCTCATTAAGAAGGCAAGATTTAGATATTCCGCACGGCTTGTAAACTTATAAACAGTCCCAACATTGTTAACAACAAACCAGGTTACAGGTGTTCCCACCTACTGCTCTTTCGCTTATTTAAACTTTATATTTGCGTGGTTTTACACCATCAAATTGGCGCCCACCATGGGCGTTCTTTACAAAAAGCCATGACAAACAACATAGAACCAGTCCAATAAAAAATAAAAAAAATAAAAAAAATTCTTTTGATAGATCAATTGAGTACTACATTTTGTAAAAAAACAACATAGAACCAGTTATTTCTCAAATCTCCACCTTGGCAGAGGGCGCTGCCCTGCCCTCAGGAGAAAATACTTCTTTATCTTCACCCATCACTTCAATCCTTGCTCCCATAATCACCATCCCAACACCAGCCCCATTCACATCTCCAATAGCACCCATGTCTTCCATCCCAGGCTCTCCCCCGAACTTCCTAGGGTCCATGGACTCAATGTACACACAGGCACTCCAAAACGTTCGACAATTCATGTCCATGTTTCAGCAACCAGGAGGGTTTGCCCCCTTTATCCGTGGGATGTACCCCCAGGCCCTGCCACAAAGTTCCCCCTTATCAAACGGAATAGAGCATCCATCGCCGTTTCAACCAACTAGCGTCATTTGGTCGGTTATCGTGACAAATCTGGTCGGGGAGATGGATAAGGCAGGTCCTTCTCGGTCCAGGAGAAGCCGGTCCCGTGAATCTAACACCCAGGTCACACCCGATGGGGACGTGCGCTCAGTCCATAGCAAGGACGAGGACTGGAACATACCAAGAGCCCAGAAGAAACTAAAAGGCAAAGCCGTTCAATCGAAAGGATCTAGGTGATCAGCGTTCCAAAGGTTGGGACATGAGGGAAGGAATCAAAACCGACCAGCCAAGGAGCGGCTGGGGGTTGAGACCATTCAGGTCAGCGCGTTTGACAGGCTGGGAAGAGGAGGCGAACGACCTGGTCAAACCAGGCGCTCCGAGCCTCGTCCTCAAAATGAGCCCCAGCACAATCGAGCACCCAGGGAGGAAGAAGAGGCGGAAAGTCAGCCCAGGCGAATGGTTCGCATGAACATTGGGTAGCCCAATGATCGTGTGGACCGGGTAGAAGCACGATTGGAGAGGTTGCAAAGACGAGTGGATAAGGAGGAAAACAAGAAGGTGTTGCTAACGGGCTCACCGTTCACCGACTGGGTGCACAAGACCCCATTCCCAAGGAAAGCACGGGAGGTATAGGACGGGTCAAAGGAGACCAGAAGAAAGCTCGATCTTGTTATCTCGAAGCTGTTAAGAAAATGACCAAGGCCTTCGAAAGGATTACCATGGTCTCACAAGAAGTGGAAAAAGGCAAAGATTGGTCAAGATTGGAACCGGGAGAAGAAACTGAGGAGATAGTTCTCTGGGAGGCATTTTTGGAGAAGATGGTTTGGATTGATTGGGACCTACCGGAAGGACTTCGAGAAGAGATCAACTCAGTCCTCCAGGAGTATGCGGATATATTGGCTTGGAGTGTGGCAGACATGTCGGGCATCAATCGTTCCATTATATGCCACCGATTGGGTGTAATGGAAGGAAGCTCGCTTGTGAAGCAAAAGAAACGTCTCTTGGCAAACGTTCGAAGGGAGTTTGTTCAAAAGAAAGTTAAGGAACTCATGGCGGTCGGGCACATCCAAGAAGTCCAGTACCCGACTTAGATGGAAAACGTCGTCTTAGCACCCAAGGGCGATACTTGGCGAATGTGCGTAGACTATACAGACCTGAACAAAGCATGCCCTATGGATTCATATTTGTTTCCCCAGGATCTGATGGTTGATGAGAGAGCCAAATGCGAGTTGCTGAGCTTTATGGATGCCTTCAAGGACTACCATCAGATCTACATGGCAAAGGAAGATGAGAATAAGACGTCCTTCCTCACTCCGAAGGCACGTATTGCTATCGGGTGATGGCCTTCAGACTAAAGAACTCAGGCGCCACTTATCAACGAATGGTGAATCGGCTGTTCAAACCATTGCTTGGGAAGTCCATGGAAGCTTACGTAGATGACATGCTGATTAAGATCCCGGGAGCAACCAACCATCCAATAGATATGAGGCGTTGCTTTGAAATCATGGCCAAGTACAACTTGCACCTAAACCCCAAGAAATGCATCTTCGCTGTAAAGACCGGCAAGTTCTTGGGGTTCATGGTCACAAAGCGGGGAATAGAGCCCAACCCTGAGAAGATCAAGGCGATCACTGAGATAAGGTCGCCTGGTTCATTAAAAGATGTGCAACGGCTAACCGGGCAGCTGGCGGCATTGAGCAAATTCTTGTCTTGGTCAGCTGAAAAAGCTTTAACTTTCTTCAAAGTCTTGAAGAAGGCCATCACGTTCGAATGGGACCGGGAGTGCGAAGAAGCTTTCCAGCAGCTGAAGGAATACTTAGTTTCTGACATAGTTTTATTTAATCCTGAGCCGGGTGAAACTTTGTATTTGTATTTGGGCATATCCCAAAATGCTATTAGTTCTGTTTTGATAAGGAATGAAGATGGCCAAAGGCCTATTTACTATGTGAGCAAAGCACTAAATGGGGCTGAGAGCAGGTACTCAGCAACTGAGAAGACAGCCTATGCACTTTCATTACGACTAAAAAACTTACCGCCTACTTTGAGGCCCATGTGGTGGAAGTACTTACGGACCAGCCACTCAGCTCGGTCCTTCACAGTTCCACATTCTCGGGGAGGATGATAAAGTGAGCAATGATGCTCACCCAGTTCAAGATCAATTACAAACCCTGAACTGCGATCAAGGGTCAAGCACTGACCGACTTCTTAGTTGAACTGATCGGACTAGAACCTGAAGCGGGACCATCCCAAACGGTCGAACCGTGGTGGGATATGGCCGTGGATGGAGCTTCTAGACCGAAGGGTTGTGGGGCTGGAATTGTTTTCACTACCTTTGAAGGATTCAAGATATAGCATGCATTGGTATTCAACTTCAAGCTCACCAACAATGAAGCAGAGTACGAAGCCCTCGCCGGTGGACTCAGGTTGGCCGGGGCACTTGGTATTAAAAGGATGAGTATCCGGTCAGATTCAAGCTTGGTCGTCGGGCAGGTTAACGGGGAGATGGAGGTCAAGGAGGAACGACTTGCCCGGTACAGCGACTTGATACGAGCGCTTTTAAGGGAAATTGAAGAGTTTTGTCTAACCCGGATTCCCCGATCAGAAAATACATGCTGCTGACATGCTCTCCAAATTGATGCAATTCTGCCCAGAGCATGTACCAAAGTCAAAATTAACTTGAGGGTGAAGGTGTGTTCGGGTCCAGTGGGTGGGGGGTGTTTTCGGATCAGGGTGGGCGAGAGATTTATCGATACATTAGATGAGTAGAAGTCATCAATTTTACAGACACCGGAGCACCCGGAATCATATATGAAGTTACTATTACTTGGCAAATTAACTTGGCGAGGTAGAAAATTAGGGAAGTTTTTCATAAAACCACTTCCATAAGAAAATGAGAAAGGAGAATCGTATCAGACAGAGATCGATTCAGACTCAAGCCGGGGGCAGACGAAGGAGAAAATGCGGTCGCCGAGATGGGGTTACTTCCGGATAATCACCGGCACAATCGCCGGAGGTATTCTCGGTTTCTACGTTATGCATCGCGCCGAGCTCAAGTACAAGGTCTCTCTCTACACTTTCCCCCAATTCTTCATTTCAATTCATCAATTGCTACTCCCACTCTTTCTTCAACAGTTCTGATTTTCTATCTATTCGTTTTTCCGTATTCGAAATTCAAGGAGATCTGGAATGAACGGCTGAAGAAATATGAAGAAGAGATGAAGACTAAGGGAGGTGAAGAAACGCCCCCCGCCGAGCTTCAGGAAACCCTTTGAGCATTCGTGTATTCCTGGTCAGGCATGTCTTCTTCCTTTTTGTGTAAACCATGAGTTACATCATTTGAGCATTTAGGTTTAGCTCTTTGAGAATGTGATATTTAATGGTAGCTGTTTTCAGTGGAGCTACTGATCCATTGTTAGTTAACTCCCTCCTCCCTGCAGAATTTGATTTCCAGTTATTATATTTGCATTATTTGGACTAGTCACAATCCTCATTGGTTAAGCAAGTGGGAGTTGGTAAAGGAGAATGGGAGCTCCTTCTTTCAAGTTCTTGATCATCTTTTAGCTAAACCAATTACATCAATTTGTTCTATGATTGAGGCTCTTTTTATATTTGTCAGACTAGAACTGCACCAAAGATGGCATCTACCACTAGTGTTTCATCCACAATGATTTCTTAAAGACAATGATTATTTGTGTGCGATTGTGTGTGGCGGTGGCAATCTTGGTGTCATTTCTAGGATTAAAGTAGCATTGTTGTCCTATAAATTGATGGCAAGAGAGTGAGTTTTTTCAGAGGTGGATCCATCTTCCACTTATTCCCCCTTAATAAGAGAGGGGTGATGTAATACAACAGCAATAATGGGAGCAAAAAAAATTCCGGGTAGCCTCTATTTTGTCATAAGAACTTCCGGGGTACTATATTATGCAAAATAAATCTATGGGCACTAAAAATTTGCTCTTCTATTTCTAATTGGGAAGGAGTTGGGTGAAGTTGAAAGTTAAGGGATAGTTTGGTGAGCAAAGCATGGGTGAGATGATATAAGTTCTAAAATCTGAAAGAAATAATGTTAATTCTAAACTCTAAAATAAATAATATGAGTTGTGAAATCTGTAATATGAGTGTTTTGGAAAAATCTGAAAAGATGATTGTTACTTGTTAGTGGTAGGCGGGGGTTAGCCAACGAAGGTGAGTTGCCAGCTGCGGTTACCGGCGGTTGAGGGATATATCAAACCTCTAGATTGATACCACAGAAATTTTGGACATATTAAAATATCCTCATTGAGAGGGGTGTGATATTAAAAGATATCAAATCTGAACTCTATTTGGGTTTTTCACTAAATACCTACAAAAAGGTTCTTGTAACAAAAAATACGAAAGACCATATGTCCTACTCTCATTAAAAAAGTTACAACTCAAATGAATAGAGCCTTGTTGTTGTTATTTCTACTCATCTTAGTTCCAACTTCCAATAGAGTTTGTTCCTTGAAGGAAAAAGAATCTTTGAAGATAGAATTCCAAAAGAAGTGTCATTTTTGCATTGGTTTTCAATTAAGAGGGAAACTGTTTATCATCTGCAGATTTTTGTGTAACATATGGGTTGAGCACCTGAGTGATTTCATTGCTAGCAATGAATTCACAAGTCAAAGGGAACAAGCACTATAAGAAGAGTTGATATGAGGATGGAAAATGCCATATTCTAAACAAAGGGAGTGTTTAAGAAAACTTGAGTTTCTGTTTATTGCTTATTTTAGGCATCTCTTGTGATTTTGGTGTTTGATATGTCAACTTAAGGTTCTAATCCATTGCATTGTGTTTTGGTTAATGATTTACGGAGCATTATTTATTGCAAACTAAATTAAAATAATGCTAGGGTGCTATCACATAGGTGCTACCATCCATACTTCGCATAGACAAACACACATACTAATCGTTTGTGTGTTGCACCGATGATTAGCGTTGTGTTTGTCTGTGCGAAGCATGAGTGTACCCATATGGTGGCACCCTAGCAA